TCGATATAGACATAGATGAGAATTGTGAAGTGTTGCATTAGCAAGTGTAACATGGGTCTTAATACACTTAATCAGTTGAGAATTGTAAGTAGCAGCATACAATCATGATTGATATATATATATATATATATATATATATATATATATATATATATATATATTGCTTTCTGGGCAGAAGTTAGGACATCAAGCATTAATATAGACAGAACTTCCGTGAAGAGATTGTAATCAGTTAGATACTCCTTCAGACAAGTAATCTTCAACAGTAGATGCATGATTTGCACCCTTTTGTCTTTCTTTTCAGAACCAAGAATTTAGCTTTTTGTTTTTTTTTGGGTTTTTTGGGAAAAATAACCTAATGTGGTTGAATAACATTATTTAAGAAAGAGGACCATGTTGATGGTGGTCCAGCAATTGTTTAACTTTAAGCTTGAGGACATCCAATTACCTGAACCACAAGGACTTTAAAGTGGTTCAGGGCCACGACCCGAAAATCAAACTACGTGTTCCTTTATAAAGTCTCTTTCCTGTCCCAAAGGAACTGAAATTTTCTTTTTCAACTTGTGGTGATCAACTAATGAAAACCACCACTTAGTATTGCTCCAAAAAAATTTAAGATGTCGAAAGCCGACATGTTGTTTATAGCTTGGATTTGACGGAGGTTTTCTAATAAACTCTTGATGCTAGCTATTTCTTTTGTTATGCAGTTGTCGGCCACCTTGCTACTTGTCCAACGCTCATGTGACTAAAAATGGGGTAAGGATTTAAATAAAGCTCTCGTGTAACATGTTCTTGGTTCATGATCATGAAGATGGAGGGGAGAAAATGACGGGAATAATAGTTGTTAATTAGTCACCTCGCAGAGCTGGTCCAATATAAGTCCTTACACTCACAGCTCAAAGCTATGTATGATAATCAGCTTTAAAAGGTTCCGATTAATAATACCACATTCAACTGCATCAGTCTGCATGGATCTAGGGATTCCAATATATATAACACCTTGGTTAATATATTATCATAGAGATTCCTTACAATCACTGTGATAAGCCGTCAGCTAATGTAAAGGTCCATCTGGTGGAGACTTAATTACCTGGTACTTGTCCTAAATAGGGTTCACTAAGCAGATTCTCCAGTAAGATTATGTAACCTAGCTAATGATAATCATGTGTCGATCAGTAAATTTTATTCTAATCCTATGACTTAATTACTTGCATGAACACCTCGAAGAGGCAAAAGAATTCGAGGAACGTGGACAATTTGCTACTGGGATGAAATGTGAAAGTCAGAGGGGAAGAAGATTTGCAGCACCTATCAATAAGACTATTTGTCAGAGGGGAAGAAGATTTGCAGCACCTATCAATAAGACTATTTGTCAGAGGGGAAGAAGATTTCCTAACCGTAGTGTCACCTAGTCCTGTAATAGCACATCTAAGATCGGCCAAATTATATAATCTATTTCAGAGATGCAGACATCAATGGAATACGGAATGCAGGAAGCAGTCCTGATTTTAAATCTTCTCATCACCTGAAGAGATTCTTATGCAAGTATTCCGGATTAGTATCTCGTTCAATCCTGACATTTATTTTGCAAGTTGCAATATTTGTAGGACCAAAGGATGAGGGATCATTCAGCTGACGCTGTTGCAGTTTTACACAGTTCTGATAGTTTATGTTTGCAAGTTGCAATAATAGAATTAATTCAAGGGTTATTTTTTTTTTTAAATCTGCAACTCTTAACTTCCCTATCTTCTTGCTCAAAATCTCAAGAACCCTCAAGTTAATGCTATCAAAATCATACTGACATGGAAAACACCAAAAGCTTCAGGACAGTAGCTAGTGTCACTACTGAGTCAATAATTACAAAGCAAAGTTAGTTTTTTGGCATGAATGAGGTGGACACGCTACCGGTGCGCTTGTGTTGCCTAACTTGATGTTCCACTATATTTCTTGTTTAGGTAAAGTTATACTAATATTAGTTTGAAAAGTTCCATGCATACTTTAGGAGCCATAGAAAAGTCCCACAGGTCCCTTTTCATATAAAATCATGGGCGATGAAAAATCACAATTTGTGGATGCCTTTGCTTGCAGGCAAAAGCAACTCAAAAAGCAATAAAATGACAGCCTTTTGTTGCTTGTTTTCAAACCATGAACTTCATTAAATCGATATTAAAACCCTAAACGTGCATCTCATGACTAGAACTCATTGATCCAAGTTGCTTTAATTTTCTGCTCTATACTTCGTGTGTACGTTTACTTGGATCATAAGACAAAAGAAAAAAAAAATGAAAGAAGAGGTGTGGGACGGATTAGGTTCTTTGTCTCAGTTGAGATTGATTTTTGAGGGTAACAGGATATTCATGGAGAAGTTGAGGATAATATAAGGTTATAAGCTTTTGAAAAAAAAAATAAAAAAAAGGCTATAAGCCCTTTAAATTTGAGTATCATCTTATCTTGGTACAAATTAAGGGGACTAGTAATTTTACTGTGTTTGTATGATCTACTGTAATGTCCTTGCTTTCGTTCTCTTATTCAAATGAACTGCTAATCATGCTAATCATTCTCTCTTCCTCTTTCTAATACTCATACCAGGTGATGTAACAAAGGCACCCCGCCATCAACTGTTAAATTTACCCAATGAATACGTCACTCACCAATCTTGTCTTTTCCTATACTAACACCGTGCTTTCCATTCCTTCTGATCTACTTACTCCGGAGGGAATAGGGAGAGTAGAGTTTCATTTATATCGTAGATTTGGCAAACATAACAGACGCATTAATCATCCAATTTTCCTACAATTAAGAGTATAATGGCTGTTTTAGAGTTGTTTCTTGAAGCTGTTTGACCTCCGCCAGCCGGTAGAGTAAAGCAGCTAAAGATGCTACTTAATCTTATAGCTAGAGAGAATCTGGGAGTTAGTAAAGTATAATTTCTCAGATATTCCTCTGATGTTTTCCATTTATGACAGTTTTGGATAAGGTTCATGACAAAACTCCAAATATTTGCCATTAGTGTAATCCCTCGTAATCTGATCTTTACTCATACCTGGACTACTGTTAAATGCATAGAAAATTGTCACTGACATAGCCACAACAAGTGGGATTAAATCTATATAAGAGTTTATTAGTGTTTTTCTGAACTTAATGATCTGGACCTGGACTTTGTGTCTCTTCCTCTTGCAACTTGCATTTGCATGTTCGTGGCTGTGTTTCCATGCAACAATTGTACAAGTTCCTCATTTGTCCCCATGCAAAACAATAGAAGGTTAGTATTATAAGACCATATGCTGGTCTATCTGATTAGCTTCTCCAAATTAATTCGTGTCTACAACTTGAAATTGACAGAAGTGATGCCATCAAGTTTGGGACTTAATTCAGAAATGCAGAAACTTCCAGACAGCTCTTTTTTTTTTTTTTTTAATTTGTTGACCAGGGAATTTTGCAGTCGCTACCCGAAAGTGTGCACTGGATAAACCCCGTTTCATGCAATAGCCCGCCAACCATACGGAGGGATAAGACACACTGGACAAGCCCTATGCGACAGAGAGCTCATTTTACGAAAGAATCTTTACTTGTTCTATAGCCATAGTTCCGCAACTTGATCAATTTCCCAGATTTTTTTTCCCTGTGACATTGTGGCTAAAGTAAACCTTAGTCCCAGAAACTATCTAGATCAAACTTTTCTATCTAGCCAGGAGGAAAATAGAAAGAAAAGAAAAGGCATGCTGCAATTAATCTTGAAATGCGAAATCCGCTGTTTCTGTGTCAAAAATTGAAATGGTTCCCTTTTTCTTCCTATTCGTTGTCGTAGATTCAGATAAGTATGGCCACTCAAATATTAACGAAGACAGCCCGTTGACAAAAGGGCGTTATTCTAATGTTAGTTGGATTGGGCTTGCTATCCAAAAGCTAATAAAGAAGAAAGGAGCTCCATCGTGCGTGAGTCAGACAGAGTCATCTCGTGCAAGCAATAAAGGATTCAAAAGGCTTGGGCTAGCAGCATTGACGGATTTAAAGTTTTGGGGTAGGATTGAAGGGTTAGTATATTGCAAGTTTTGGTCTAAGTCCAATGCAAGTTGACGGAAAAGATTTCCACAGACAGAGGCCTCAATGACTTCATGGATAGCTTCACTTACCATTGGCTGATTGGCACCATAAGAGATAGCCATTACCATAAGCTCCTAAAATTTAGGGTTAATTCCACTTTATCCCCCCAAACTTTGGACGATTATCCACTTAAGTCCCTAAACTTCAAAATGGGACACTTAAGTCCCTAAACTTATAAATACCTCCCACTTAAGTCCCTGAACTTATAAAATGGGACACTTAAATCCCTAAACCCTTATAAAATGGGACACTTCGACTACCAACGGCATTCAGGATTTGTTAATAATTTTCCTTAAGTGGGAGGTATTTATAAGTTTAGGAACTTAAGTGTCCCATTTTGAAGTTTAGGGACTTAAGTGGGTAATCGTCCAAAGTTTGGGGGGACAAAGTGGAATTAACCCTAAAATTTATGGGGCAGAACTATAAAGGCTCTCCTAACATTTTCCTCAGGCAGAAGAAGAAAGAAGAAAATGAAAGGACATCTTTTAGCGGAGACCAGTTTATATTATCATTCAGGACAGAAGGAAACTAAAAACCATCAAAATGGTCACCCGTACAAGTGCAACCTTAAGAATGAAATTGAGACTCGAATATGCAGATAACAACAAATTGTCGCCCTTTCCATTCCATTTGAGGATTGCAATTAACAAAATCAACCTGATGAAACCAATCCATCTTGTAGACACGGAAACTCAACGCTTGTATCAAAACCAATACAAGCAGACCTGGATTGAAATGAATAGGGCCAGTCAGTAGACCTATGGAAACATTTGCATCAAATTACGCTAGAAATCAGTACGGTTATCAATGAACAAATCACGTTAAAGGAAATTGAATTCATCAATATGGCCAGAAGTACAGACTCTGAGATCAACATTCTGTAATTTTTCTTTTTTTTTTTTGGGTGCAGAATAAAATTCTAGATTGTCTAATTAAGATTACAACAACTTCCAACCTTTCCCTCGAAGAACTGTAAACCAAATTCCCAATTTGACGAAACAATGCCATTCCCAGAAACGCAAATTATGCAAACAAACAGAGGACCCTGAAAGACCGTCCAAATTATGCAAGAAACTCAGGCAGCCCATCACATCATTGTTTTTTTGCTTCAAGAAGGACATCGGAATCGAATGAATTCCTTAATTCATTGCCACCTTGTGTTTCTCAAATTCCCGAAGCAATTGCTGATCATGAAACCCAACAAGAAATCGGGCTAATCCTTCAAAAAACTGAGCCGCCTGATAAACATTGGTAGCATTCAGGATATCAGCAAGAACACTTTTCCTCAGCCTATTAGCATCCAAGAAAACGTTAACCAACTCCTCCATCGCCGCCATCATAGCCTCTCCGACCGCCATCTCCACATCCTCCTTCCTCCCTTCATATTTCCTCCATTCAAATCCCACTCTCTCGACGAACGCTGATTGCGCGTTTCTTGCACGCACCACCAGAGGCGGCACCATTAGCCTCAGCCCGCATTCAATCTGATCAACCCTCATCGAAATACTCTTGGATGGACCGTCCCATGGCATCAAACCGCTGCATGGCTGCAGCTGATGATCATCATGACCAAGAAACTCCCGAAACAGGGGAAGATCCACCACAGTTTTGTCGTCATCTTCTTCACTCCCTCTTCCTACTCCTCTTTCTGTTTCTTCATCATCGAGAAATGATCTGAGGAGGTTCGTGAAGAGATAAGGGTGGAGATCACCGAGCCAGAGGAAGGGCTTCTCGAGGGAGTTACGCCATTCTGGGAAAAGGAGCTCGGGAAGGGTGTTGATGGAAGATGAACAGCAGAGATCAAGCTCTTCATAGTAGGCTTGGAAGTGGTGGTGCATGGCGTCTACGTGGGTGGCGAGGAGAGTAGGGGAGGAGGCTGAGAGCATCGCACGGCGGAGATGAGGGAGGAGGGAGTTCTTGAGGGTGTTGAACCATTGATTGTAGTAGTTCTTGAACGGCCTTGGTGTTGATGATGATGCCTTCTTGCTTCCAAACAGAGCTGCCATTTTTTTTTGGTTGAATTGCAAGGAAGAAAACGAACGAAATTAGTGATTGGATTTTTGGAAAACTGGGGAAAGGAATAATAGTAGAGATGAAAATTGAAATATACCGGTGGCCTTCAACATATTGTTAAATCCTGGCTCCAGTGGAAGAGTTTTCCTGGACATGATTCTTGATTCTTGGGATGTTTTTCTTTAGATGAGCAATGAAGAAGGCAACAAGGGCAATTTACACTTCTCATATATATATATATATATATATATATATATGTATATATAGGCTTGCAGTATGTCAGTTCTGGATATGAAATTAGCCGCCAAAATACTGAAATTTTATTCATTTGAGTGGGATATCATTGACCCTGTTTTATGTAAATCTAACCCAGCCCATGTGAAGCACTTTGATCAAGCCCACCTTGCTAGTTGATCGCCAGAGCAGTCCAAATGCTAGGAGTAGTATTACTCTCATCCTACCTCCACCGACGTTCCTTTTCTGGTTGTTGGTTGCCACTTTCCCATTTTCTGAGAGATAGTTGCATTGTTCCTATTAAATGCTTTCTTCTTCTGGCATGAAAGCAACATATGCCAAAGTAGAACTCATCATCTTATTAGTTATTGCCTACCACTTCAGACCATTTTATCTTTTTGGTTTATTCTCTTATTAGCACAAAGTCTTTCTTCTCCCATTTTACGTGAATTAATTTATAGTACTGTAATATTGAGGTGCAATTTTCACCAATTGTGCGTTAGTTTGAATTATTATTTATTTGCACTACTTTCATTATTATAGATTCTTGTAATCTTGTAGCATTGATAACAAGTTAAAGAGTAATGAGATTCAATTAGTCGAAAAGTACCCCAAAGAACAAAAAAATTAAACGCCCCCACGTTGAATGGGCTGGTGGTTGGCGCCTCTTCCTCGGAATCGTCAGGTCCTGGGGTCGAACCTCCGCAGCAACATCAGTTCCGCTGTGCATCTAACGTGCTAGGTCTGATTGGGGCGTCGGGATGGGCCGGAGTGGGATTAGTCGGGCCGCCATTACGGAATTGATCCGGACACCCACTTCGTCGACAAAAAAAAAAAAAAAAAAAAAAAATTAAACTCTGTGCAAGCGCCCCAAAAATTGCACGTAATCATGTAAAATGCCTATTGCTTATTTCTAGCATTGAATATTGGCTAAAATTCAGATATTTATCTAGTTTGAGAGTAGTTGATAGACAGATGTCATTCAAATTTAAACTCAAATTAACTTCAAAAACGTATACCTTTTCTGGCTCAGGCGGTTGTTTCATTTCATCTTGAAACCGAATAGCATTCCTGCTTCGCGTCCTCCCCAAACACTCCTCCTCCTCTGAATCCATGACTTTTTTTTTTTTGATAATGATGAATCCATGACTTAAAGAGTGTTAAAGATGGCCATCAAGAACAGAGAGAAAAAGTCAAAATCTCATTTCTAGTTTCCTGCGTCAGCCTGTAAACAAACAGTCTGAGAAAGAGAACAAACCAAAAACTTTGCCCGCCTTCACAAAAGGACACGTAACCACAACTGTGTCCTCCCTGGTCAAAATCCCATGGAGCCAAAGATCCAATCTTTCTTACTTATCCCTCTCCCCACTTTCTTTCTCCGCCACCCCTCTCTTCCCATAACCACCCCAGCCAACCATGCCGCCACCACCACCTCCTCTTCCTACTTTTTCCCTCATTCTCCTCCTCTTCCTCCTAAGCTCCACCACCATCTCTCAATCCCAAGACACAGATCCTGAATCAGACTGCACCGACAAATGGATCCACATCCGCCACCTCCCACCCCAATTTAATGTTGACCTCTTAAAAAACTGCTCCGAATACCCTCTTTTCGACAACTTCTGCCCTTACCTCTCCAACCATGGCTTAGGCCAAAAAACTCACAACAGCTCCCACAGCTGGTACAGAACAGATCCTTTCATGCTTGAACTCATTTTCCACCGTCGCATGTTAGAGTACCCTTGTCTTACCTCTGATCCAAATCAAGCCAATGCCATCTACCTCCCATACTATGGAGGCATTGATAGCCTGAAATACCTTTATGGTCCAGAGGTCAATTCCAGCTTTCTACATGGCCTAGATTTGTATCAGTACCTAGTACATCAAGATTCACCAAACATATGGAATAAAAACTTCGGTCACGACCATTTTTTGGTCATGGCTAGGCCAGCATGGGACCTTATCCAACCTCTATCTGCTGATCCACCAATTTTTGGTACATCATTTCTTGAATTGCCTGAATTTTATAATGTCACAGTATTGACTTTTGAGGCCAGGGCATACCCTTGGCAAGAAAGGGCAATTCCGTACCCCACTTCATTTCATCCTCCAAATTTGGCATTTTTTGAGTCTTGGGTTAACAGGTTGAGGAGGACTAGGAGAACTAGTTTAATGTTGTTTGCTGGTGGGGGTGGAATTTCGGCAAATCCCAATGTTAGGAGGAGTATTAGGCTTGAATGTGAAAATAGTACTGGCATGAGTGTGAATGGTACAAGGTACACTAAATTATGTGATTTTGTCGATTGTTCAAATGGGGTCTGTGAGCATGATCCGTTGAGGGTTATGAAGCCAATGTTGCAGGCTACTTTTTGTTTGCAGCCTCCAGGTGATACACCAACTAGGAGGTCAACTTTTGATGGGATTCTTGCTGGTTGTATACCTGTGTTTTTTGAGGATTTGTCTTCCAAAAAGCAGTACCAATGGCATTTGCCTGAGGAGAAATATGAGGAGTTCTCTGTTTTTATACCAAAGGAAGAGGTAGTATATAAAGGGTTGAGCGTTTTGGATGTGCTGATGAGTATACCAAGAGCTGAAGTTAGGAGAATGAGAGAAAAGGTTTTGGATATGATGCCAAGAGTTATGTATAGAAAGCATGAGAGCTCACTCGGTTTGAGGAGCAAGAAGGATGCGTTTGATATTGCTATTGAAGGCACCTTGCAGAGGATCAAGTCCAGACTAGAGGAAATAGCTTCATTCCTGGTGTAATTTTATTAGCTCCTTGTAGTTGTGGTGCTTTTTCTCGCCTCTTTCTTTGTTATGTATTTGCCAATGGGTGTACATGATTACAGAAGCTTTGTATTAGTAATTATTAAAAAGGAAGAAAAAGAATTTGCATACGGATTTCCACTGATGGATAAAAAACTAGTTGATAAATATGGTAGAACCGTAGAAATGGTGATTGTTATGAACATCCCCACTCAGATGCATCCTCGACACAGTTCACAGCAACATTTGGAGGTCAAGAATTTCGACTACATTGGTGTCCCTCTGCTATAAAGTTTATTGCTTTGATTATAGCAGAAGAGCGAGATCAACCCTGAAGTGGTAAAATTTGTAGCATCCTGCTTTGCATTATTGATTGTAAAAATTTGAGACCTTTGAATGATGTTTAAACAAGAAGATCAGCTTATGTGAGACAATTGCCTTAATGCTTGTTTTGCATTCTTGTAGCTGGTTTTTGGTAGGCACTCTTGGATGCATGTTTAGCAGAATTTTTAAGGCAATCAGCGGTTTGCTCGAGGAGAAAACTTTGAAGAGCAGAGGACAACTCTGCAACTGAAAGCCATATTTGGGAAATTGGGCTTGTGGTAGATTATGCTTCTGTGATCTGTCGACGACAAGAATATTTCATTATAGTTTCGAGCAAGATTTTGAGTACAGGCGCTGCAAAACTGTGGCTTGTGATCCTCTAATTGGAGCATTGAAACCAGGAGCTGCAAAGCCTGCTATAGCTTTGGCTGCAAATTAATTTCCATCTATGATGATGAAAATAGTCAACTGCCCTGAAGTTAACTATCCTGTTTTCCTGTTAAGATTCATGTAGGGGCATTAACAAGAAATTGCAATGAAGCTTTAACTTGCATCAAGGTAAAGTGGGTTGGTGGGGGCTGATAGAATTGAAAACAAAAAGCTGTAACTAAGTCGATTGTTGCGTGACGTGCAACTGCAGCCATTTGCAGCTAATGAAGGTCAAATTGGAAATAGGCTGACTAGCTAAAGCATTCAGCAATTTTCTCTGCAAAACGGGGAAGTGGCTGAGAACTACAAATCTCCACCGGAAAACATAACATGAGAACACCACCTCGTATCAAAAAAAAAAAAAATCTTGGAAGAAATTTCGTAATCAATCAATGCCAATGGTTTGGGTCTCATTATTGGGCCCTTGGCAACAAAGAGTTTTTCCTTGCTGGGTTTGGAAATTTGCAAGTTAACCGGGCTGGTGAGGGTGAGCATGGAATTATCAGAAACGACCAGGGTCTGTGACTATTGGGCTTTGTGATGATCATTGAAAAAGCTACAAGCGCAGATGCGGAGTTATGGGCTTACTGTTTGGTCCGGGGATGACTGGAAAGAGGGCTTTAAACATTTGGAAGTTGAATTCGCACCGCTGGTTAAAGAAAAAATATATATATATTTTACCTCAAAATTGGGTTTGATGTCCTAAATACTCGGATTATTCTCAATAGAACACCCATTCATGCATACAATTGAAAAAAATTTTATATTTCATATATTTTAAAAAAATTCTGAAAAATGATTTATACTTTTCAGTTAACTATATAAAAAACGTAATAAATTTTTTATTTATTATACTTCACAAATTATACATTAATTTTTTAAAAAAATTTTAGTTTAGAGTAAGGACAATGATTATCTTCCTAGTTACATACAAAGTAACAACGGCATGTGACATAATTCCATAAATTTTGTACAGATACAAGTAACAATTTTAATAAATTTAACGTCTTATACACAAGGATAAGAGTTATCATTGATATAAATGTAGCATAATCTTTGAAAAAATATATAAATTTAACAGTACTTTTAGTTTCATAATTTCCAAATATATTTGTACTATTCACGTACAAATTAATATGCGTAATTTGGCCAAACACGTATCTTTACACCGAACTTTTACTCATATTCTTGAAAAAAACTTTCGTACAATATGCATGCGTAGGATATCTCGTACCATACCCATTTTGTATCTTACTATAGCTAGCTAACTACTGCCATGAAGGAAACCATTTTGAGGAGATTTGTTCAAATCGATGAAACATAAGCCTACATAAAATGACTTCGTACATAAGCCTACATAAAATTCTACTCAGTGATACTAGCATGAAACATCTAATTAGGCCATATGTAACAAGATAAATACACGAAATTTCATGTGGTTTCACGACCCACCACCTTAAAAGTCAAAACAGAAACAATTTAAGAGAGGAGATGTTTCAATGCAAAGAAGACAAGTCAGTAAAATGAGCCCCAGTTCTTTTGGAGCCTGATAGACTTTTATTTATTTTTTTATCTCCTCTTCGCTAAATTTCTTTTGAGCTAGGCCAAATATTACTTGCATATAAACATTTCATGTGAGACAGATATTCTCCCAATAATTCAATTGTCCACCACGTTAAATTTTGGCTGTATCACTTTACGAAATCCTTATTGCTTTGATCAAGAAAGTCGATCTACAGCCAAAAGTGAACGATCCAAACGCTAGGACTCGGGAAAATTTATGAATTCTCATTCTTGGGGTTTTGGACGAAACAAAATTTTCTGTGAGACAAGTGCTAACGTGGTGGCATTTTGATTATCAAAATCGCATTATATGGTGAAAAAAAGATGGGATTTTAATTCTTAGTTTGATTTCTTGGGTAATAAAGATCAAGGGCCCCACCTTAAGATGAACCACTTTGCGTGGACGTGAGACTGCTACAAAAGAATCAAAGGTAATAAACAGCAAAAGAAACAGCGGAGCGGAAATATTCCACAAGAATCAAGCAACGGAGTACGAAAACCTGGACAAAGCAAGCGTGGAAGTGAATTCAGCAACGGAGTACGAAAACCTGCAAATGCACGAGAAAAATTGAAGTTAGGAATAAGGATTGATGGCGGAGAAATCAGAAATGTATTGTACGAAAAGATATTGGGAACTTACTGGGTTGAGGGAGAGAGTACAGAGATATTGAATTGCTTGAAGTTAGGAGATCAGACCTGGTGCTTATATAGACAAAAAGGAAGAAAGGGAGGAAAAGACTTTTCAAAGGAAAAAAAAAAGGTTGACGTATTAACATTGTTTTCACACATTGACGTATCTTTATTCTCTAACTAGCTATCAATTCATGGTCATGCCATGGTAGTTTTTCACAATTTGTATTATTAATTGCATGATTTCAGTGACGTTCGTCCCCCTTAGAACGCTAAAAGTGATAAAGCGGACTTTTATATTCTAATTGCCTTTCGAACTTGTGTACCTCGACATTCAGACACTTGCGCTTTGACTTAAATGCACGTCCCTTCCTTTGTTTGATTCAGGCTACTTCTGCACTTACCATCATTGGCCAAGAGTCACCTGGGTAAGATTTTGTCTTCACGTTGGCATCTTCATACTTACTAGGAGGCATGAACGCGCTTTGCGCGATAGAAATATAAAATGCCCTGCCCAGTTTTGAACTAATCAAAATAATAATTTATGTAGAAAAATATATTTTTTAGTATAGGTATTTTACAAGTATGAAGTTTTGTTGATATTTCTTGGATGTTTCTCACAAAGCCTTTGGTGAATGGCAACTGGCAACTTGCATTTTTCAGAAAACCATTTCTGATGAAAAAAATGGAGCCAATGTAGTATATAATACAGAGTAAGGAAAGAAAGAGCACCCCAGAAGTTCCTCTTGTTTATGATTATAATTAACAGACCAACATTTAAATCTCTGTAGTTTGTTTTCAAGGCATGACTCTTTAATAATTTTCCAAATTAAGAATTTTTATTTTTCTTTCAATTTTTTTCTATGTCTATTACATCTAAACTATTAATTTTGTTATCAATTATTCTTATTTAGTAGTGAGAGGTAAATAATAACAGACTTTAAAAAATTATAAATTAATTTTAATATTGTCATTCCATCAAATATTTTTCTTTTTTTTATCATACATTTTGTTAGCTTCCATTTTGATTTTGAGTGGCATGAATAGGTGGTATAGAATTGCAGTATTTCTTAAGTCCTAACATTTTTTGTATTTTATTTAGGCCTATTATTAAAAGTATTTGAATGCTAGTTATTGGCTTGTAAGTTTTAAGCTTAAATTTATATTTCTCAAATTATTGTATTTTTATGTATTTGATCATGACTGCGCCACTACCCTAGCATACTCAATATCTTCTAATGTAACATAGTCACTGTATAAAAGGTTATGCCTGTGTTATTATGGTACCAATTTATGATACTTTTATTAATAAAAATATTTTGAGGACTAATGTTAAGAAAAGAAATAATCAGAACAAGGGAAATAATTTATATTTTGTTCTTTTCGGAGATTTTTATCGAGCAACAAGGTGTTTAGACGAGAAATTGCAACTACTAAGATTAAATGACAAGCAAACCTCTATGCAAAATATCATCTTATCAACAAATAAGATCAGAATAATGAAATGATAGAAAACGAGTTTTACAAATTATTTATCAACATAAGGAGCATTAATCAAGTGGTTCCCTGCTTCCTTCGTTTCTCACTTTATTTTTGGTTCTTTTTCTTTTTTTGTTGTTTGAGAGGGGGGGAGGGAGGTTCAGTTGGAGGCAAAAGCCTAGTTACATAGGAATATTACACCCATCAAAAAAGCCTGAAGAGCTAATTTTTCTGCTTTGATGGTTTATTGAAATGCTTAAGATTGCAACCATCACACTGGATAAAAAAATGCACCATCCAAAATGCTATTCAGGCCTGTAGACAAAATGGATAAAAAGCAGCAACGTGTTTCTTTGTAACCAAAGTTAGCATCAACTTTATTGCTAAACATCAAAGGCTAATAAGTACATTCCGTTCAAACATCTACTATCAAAGCTTAACATCAAACTGAGGTAACCGAAGTACATTCATTATTAAAGCTTGATAAGTCCATTATCAAAGCTTGAAGCGATAAACAATAGTAACAACCTAGCTATTACATAATTTCTGTGCTTGAGTCCTCCAACAACTACAATTACATAATACACATTAACTAAAAAACATCCAACGAAACTGCACTCATAATCCAACGACATACATGCCTAACACAGGACAGCAGATTCCTTCCTTTTTACCGCTTAGCCACATGAGCACTCAGTTCAGCATTCTGCAGCAAAAAATCAGAAACATAATCATAAAATGCATAAGCACAAATAACCAATGAATTCCTAGTCTGTACACATTATTTATTCAGTCAAAAGCATTCAAAATCATTCAAGAAGAATAAGTGTAATCATTTAAAACAGCCCTTACTCAAGTAACTTATGAAGATGCCTTGGTACACAACACACCGAAGTAAAAGTAACATCTTGCAGAAAGAACCAAACATAGAAGAACATCATTTACAGGATATAAAATAGCATTTGTCAAAACCTAAAACAAAAAGAAATAACCAATGAATTCCTAGTATGTACACACTGTATATAGTGAATGGATAGGTTTTGCTGGTTTAGACAATCAAATAATCAGAAATAAGAAAGAAAAACAGCCTAGATTCATAGTCTAATGGTCTCTAAAGCAGTTCACAAACAGATACAAATTTCGGGATCCAGCCCTCACAGCTTAAAGTAAGCAAGGGATTTACAAGCAATTGACTACATCAATGATAAATGATTTATGAGCACAACATTTTTTAATACCTTCAGCAAGGTACTTTTCTGACATTTTCATGAAGCTAATAACTCTAACTGGTCAATCAAAATACACCGTATAAGAAATTAAGATTCCACCTACCGCGCAGACTGTACAAATATACAGAGTGATATGAAGCCATCCAGTCTGAATCTTCCACTCCTCTTCTGATCAAAACTCTACAAATTACAATTGAAAAGGGAAAAATTAGGCAGAGCCCATAAAGCACAAGTAAACTCTAGGTAAAAATTAGTCAGAGCACATCAAATGCAAGTTGGCTCCGAACCCTCAGATCATTAAAACACAGATCATGATAAGTGTTCAGAAACTGGAGATTTAGATAATATGTCAAATCAGTTGAGTGTCAAAGTGTGAGATCATTAAGACACAAATCGGTTGAGTGTCAAATCATCGAAACACACACTGTTCAGATCATTAAAAAACACAAATCAGTTGAGCATCAGAGTACTTCAAAGGTAACAGGTTTGCCATATGCATATAAATCTTCACCATTCTAAGAGAAACTGGAGATTGTATATAAAATAGAAGGTAACATACATGAAGTTTGCTCAATCTCCATCTTAATTAACTTTTGGGGGGGGGGGTGCAGTTTAGATCACCTCATGAGTAAATAAAAGAATATCACCAGAACTCAAACATTTATCCAATTGTATTGTGAAACTTACACCTAACAATCATAGTAAACAGTACTATAACCTTGTAGACATCATCTGGAACAAGATATCCACGGCCCCTGCAGGTAAACAGATAAAATATCATGATTAGCCCTTGGGTCAGAGTGTAACGACCCCATTTTCCCCTAAGGCGAACCAGAGGGGTCAACGGGCCGCCTGCCCAGCTCTCGCCGGGACTCAGTCGATCACTATAGTCCTCAAACAAATACAAGATAAAATCTCAAATCTAAATCAAGTATTCCAACATTTACATATCAAAAGCGAAGCGTCCACGCTTCCACTGCGCCACTCTGATCCATGAACCCAATGATTATACAAGAGGAAGTCCAAATCTAGACTATTACACATCCAAGCAATTCTAAACGTTCCATACAATCCCAATATGAATGATTACACAAAATAAAATCCAAATTCAATCCATACATGAGATAATCCATCCATTCCAATTTCAAACAGTCACCCTAAACCAACAATTACACAAAAGAATCCAAATCTAAACTATACGAGTTACATGCCATCTGGTCATACAGGTAACACAATACAAACACTTCCTTTGTCTTGATTCCTGTGGGGAGAAGAAAACATTTGGGGGTGAGCTAGAAGCTCAGCGAATGAACAGTAAAACGGGTAATCAAATAACTTAACAATAATGTATTTAGAAGCTATTATGAAGTAACGATCAGATGTGCGTATAATGCTCTTAGAGCCAGTGAAAATCCTTGTACTTAAATATATCCAACGCTCCCTTAGAGCAAGTAATCAAATAAACAGGAACAAGGAGCCATCGTGCTCCAAAAATGCATAAACAGTAGCGGAGACATTGGTTTTAAGCACAAGATTTTCCCACGAACTCATTGGAGCCAAAATGTTATGGCACACACACATACACAATGAGATGCCATCATGTAATCAATGCAAGAATTATTGCAAAAATAACTTTTGGAGAAATAGTTGAGGTTCACTCACCAACCACGGCACACAAACCTTTTCCAGCATACATCATTGACTTGCTCAAGTCGGAGCCCTAAATTACAAATAGCATGTCAAAGAAAAGGAATTCTAAACTTAACAAAGTCCTGCCACCTTTTGGCATTTTAATCATAAGTAAAGCTACACTTATCCGATCGAAACAAATCTTATGGAGTTACGCAGCTAAGACATATGCCAACATTTCTTATGGAGACTTCCAAAGTCAAAATGTACAATTTCAGGGTCAAATATCGAAATCTAGGAGAAAGAACGAAAACTGTCATAAAACAGGGGTTACGGGGCAGTCATGGGTATTTCGGTCAATTCACAAGCCACAGTACTCCAATCAATCTGAAATTTTGCAGGCGAGTAGTCAACTCATATATCTACAAGTTTCATGTTTTGAGCAAAAGTTGATTCAGTCTCTAACATGGTCAAATGTACGATGTAAAAATAGGGCAGAGTACTACCCCTAAGCTGGAATTCATGTCTTCTAGCTGAAATTCTTTTGGCACCCAAACGAGCATACCACACTTTATTTATCACACTAACAAAACATCAATCTATCATTAACCACTACTTATCACATGAGGCAGAAATAATACCATAAAACCAATCCTTGCAATAACCATCACCACTTGTAATTAAGAGCTAGTAATCCCATCTTAGCATTAAATAATTTCTACTACGCCTATACATGGCAAATCAAAGGTGAAACCACTTGAATAAAATCCGGAAATATCACTAACATGGAGTTTCGTCATTCCAACTTCCAAATCACAAGAATTTCCATAATATGAATCAAGATCAATCAATTCAAATCAATCAAATACCCTTCAAAAATGGGACAGCATTACCCCTTAATTTTACACATTTCCAACCTACCATTCAATACCAAATTTATCTCAATTCAATCCCATTGTCACATACAATTTATAGACTAGTAACTACACTTAATTAGGGCCACAAAACCCTTTAATCAAAACTAATTAGAAGCTTAAAGCCAACTATTAGAAAAACCCCCAATTGAAACCCTAGAACCGGAAATTCATACCATAAGCGGAAATTTTCCGCAATCAACCGCAATTAACGTATCAAGAGTCCATTTAACACCATAACAATCCATCAATCCAACACAAATCATGGCCTTCATATAAATTCAGAAAAATGCCCAATAAATCAAAAATTCACCATAAATTCTTTCAACCCATATAATACTCCACAATACAACACAATTAAACATCACAAACCCTAAATTAACCAATATTAGAACCAAAGGAAACTTGTTTATCTCACTTACCTCAAATTCAAGAAAACTATCCACTTAGAACTTCCCATCCAAAAGCAAACCATCAAAAGCTTTAAACCACCCTAGTGAGCCCTTGTGTGAAATATCTTCCAAAACCATCGGTGAAATCACAAGATTTTGGTAGAAATTGAAACTAGAAAATTGAAGAGGTTCTTCCTCTCAAAGCTCACGGAAGAACCAGGGAAGAAAATGAGATATTTTGGTTGTAAAAGTGGAATAAAAAGGGAGCAAACAGCCGGTCAAAGCTTCTGACCGGCTGTGCCACGTCAGAATCAGGCCGGAATCTGGCCGGATTTCCGGCCGGATTCTTGGCCGGATTCAAGGCAGTGGCTGATCAAATTTTTTTTCAAAACGGCTGGGCAATCCGGCCGGATTTGGTCCCCTTCACATTTCCAAAAATTTTTTCTTCTTTTCCAAGTTTAAAAGCTGCGCTCCTCCACTCGTCCAACAAAAAGATCCATAAAATGAAAACCCTAATTTTCGGGGCGTCACAATCTCCCCTCCTTAAAAGAATGTCGTCCTCGACATTTCAACTCATATACATCCGATCAAGATATCGCGCAGAAACCAATCAAGCATTAGAATTCAATCTAATCCAACTTGTATTCATCCGGTCCCCTTAGTTTTTCCCCAAGGTCAGTCAAATACTAGGACTCATTCTAATCTCACTTATCGTCTTTTCATGATCCAGTAAAGCATGGCTTATCAAATAATCACTTATCAAATTCAAGTACAATCTCACGCCAATCCAACTTATCAAATAGTCACGGTCCAGTAGGGAGTTAATCGCGTATCCAGATAAAACAGGTAAAAGACTTGATGCCGGACGTAAAGTCCCAGATATTTGGAAGAAATTCAGGATATAGCAAAGCTTTAGATCGAAAATTCATTCCTGGTGGTGCTGGACAACACAACAAGCTAGCATAACGGCTACGCTTCACCAAAGAATTTCAGTTCAGTAAGTTGGCCCTGGTGGTGCTGGACAACACAACAAGCTAGCACAACGGCTAAACTTCACCAGAGAACCTCAGTTCAAGTATTTGTCCCTGGCGGTGCTGGACAACACAACAAGTTAGCACAACGGCTAAACTTCGCCAGAGAGCCTCAGTCAAAATTCCATCCCTGGTGGTGCTGGACAACACAACAGGCATGCCTCGCCAGAAGAATGGCGGTGCTGGACAACACAACAGGCAATGCCCCACCAGAGAGGTTCAGTTCAACCGCTACAGAAGAGTAGTAGCCGGTCTACAATCACATGAGCACGAATAAGTTCAAGAGTAGGGTCAAAGCAGAGTTCAACCAAATAAGTTCAAAAGCAGAGCCAATTACTTCAAGTTCATAGTGCACGAGTACGAAAAGTTCAAAAGCAGGATCAAATATTGCAGGTTCAGGGAGTACGAGCACAAATACGGATACGTAAGGCACCTTAGCCTAAACAGGTTCAAGTTGCACGTAAGCTCAATCTAATCGGTCTCAGGCAGTTACAGATTTCTCACCAAACCAACAAAATACTACTGGAGAGTTCAAACTTCCTAAAATTGAATTATGGTCACAGAACCAATCATCATATATGGTGCGCACAAGAAAATCTCACCAAGTTTCCGACTAGGTTAATCCTTAATACACTGGTAGATCTGATCTTCGGGTTTACTCTCGATTCATTTTCAGTACTAGGGACCTATTCACTTTGTCTCACTAGCACAGGGTTGTCTAAGCCTTCGGTCACGATCCCGTTTTCCATAATAGAAGTCTATACTCAAAGGACAAGGCATATTTAAGCACGAGCTAAAAATTATACAAGACATATACACAGGACAAGACATATACAAGGTATAAAAATTTATTTGAATCAGGACATGATTCTTTACAAGTATCAAAAGTTATAGCACGAGCTAAAAGTCACAAAATTAAAGCCAATGCGTTACATATTGCATATAGGCAATTAAGTATCACGAAAGATAAAAGCATATGTAAGCAAGATACAAAAGTCTCACGATGTGCACCACCCTTCCTAAGCTATAGTTAAACCAAAGGGTCCAATTATTGCTAATTTCAATCAAATCACCTACCCTTACGATATCCAATCAATCCATAACACCAGTTGAAACCAAAGGTTATCCTTTCGAAGTTCAAAGTTCAAAATCTGGAATAAACAAGCGACTAGCAAAATACCATCATCTTCAAGAATAACCAATCTGAGGTTCTATAGTAAAGTCTCAAGGTCCAAATTCAAACCCAAGAAACAAGTACAGCTGTCTAACTTACGTGTCAAATAACAACCAAGTCACTTCACACTAACTTCGTGCTCTTGAATGCAATTACTCTATATCTCAAAGTTTCCTCAATCCGTACACTTAAAGATAGGTTTACCCTTCTTGAAAGTCAAGAATTTTAAACCATAAGTAAAGTATATAAATAGCCCGAAACTTATCAAGGTCAAGATTTTCATTATAATTACAATAGCTCGCCATTCTTTTGAAAACTCAAGATATATTTGTTTTTCATGGCAAGCATAGACAAATTCAAGTGCGAGAATATGCCGGTATACAATCAAGGAGAAAACTTAGTTGATAAAATTTTAACCGTATCCACCCACCATACACAAAATTCAACAACTCATCAGTTATTCAAGTAAAATTCACATTTTTACTATAATCGGCAAATGATACATACTTAAAGCATATATATCTTATTTCCAATCATCGCTTGTAAATAAAACTAGTACATCCTAGTTTTTCTTTACAAATCCAAAGCATAATTCCTTTAAAAGGTATG